ATTATCCTGATCATTCGGTGGTAATGCCGTAAAGATTATGTAGCTGTATATAAAAGAAAAATGTTCACTATACATAGTTGATATCATAGACGCCTTGGAAATCTAAAAGTCTAGAATTTGAAAAATTCGAAAAACTAAGAACACCGAGCAAGAAAAACGTAGGGCGAGAACGCCATTCACTGTAAAAGTCAGAAAACTAAAAAAATAGAAGAGCAATAAAGCTTAGAACCAATCCATGGCGAGCCCGCGTGTAAGGAAAAAAGTAAATCGATCCAAATACTACAGATGAAAGAAAGAGAATAACTAACACAAAATTGGCCTGAAATATTTCATCCCTGTATTCCACATTAGGCCTATAAAATGTATAGTCGGGCTGCTGCCGAAAGAATTGGGGTGCCTGAAAACAGAATACATTTTCCCATAGATACTTTGAAATAATCAAATATTTACTTTTTTTCAAAATCAACATTAAAAACACATTTTCAGGAAGTAAGCGAACTTCCAGCAGGGAAACCTTGGCGGATTTGCACTCTCAAATGTTTCAGAAATTAAGGATTAAGCAAAACGAGCAGAATGCCGCCTTCATGAGCAAATTTAACATTTTACTTTTAATGCTGCATAAAAATGATGAAAAATGGGCATATTTTAATTTAAAAGGGTAAGGTGCGCCAAAAAACAAGCAACGTCCCCGTGGAGGTTTTGACTAGAAAAATTATTACTTCGGAAGCCAGAAGTGCTGAGGGACTGAAAATTTCAGGAACATGTCTCCTGCCCAAGCAAGGGCTTCACAAACTCGAATTCAGTTTCCAAGTATGTCGAGATCTCACGTACGACCACATGAAAGTTTTGTTTCAAAGATCATTCGAAAGCCAGAAAATCAGGAGGTTGAAATTTTTGAAGGATATTCACCCTTCAACTTTCATGTGTCGGTTTGTGAAATTTGTAACTATTTTTTAGCGTTTCAACTATTTGTGCACAGACTTATTAACGGCAATCGTTCAGTGGACGGAACTGCACAAAACGAACGATCGTACCGGCTATTCTGGTGCGCGCTGCTATTTATATCGGCTGGGACGAGACCAATTCTTCACCGAGAGTGACAGTCGATAAACTAAGATAACTACTTCGATATTCTAATCATCCGTCATCAGGTTTTTCGTCAAATAAGTAGTCCGAAGCTAAGTTATAATACTTACAGTAATTTCCAGCCTTTTCCTTATGTGCTCAAGCTGAAACATTTGCGGCCGTCCACTACCTCCCCCGGTGCAATAGGTACGCGACAGCACTAAACATGCCGTTGAAGGAGCTGCAAATCGCACCAAATACCGCCAAACCGACCGCATTTGTACCTTCGATGATGACGATGATGAGGACGAAGCTGCAAAACAAAGAAAAATTATAAATTCATAAAAGAAACAAAAAAAAAGTGAATTTTTGAAACTAACAAAACAGCCTATGCAGATTCCTGAACCTGTCACAACTGTCTAAAAAAGTTCATGATCCTAAATCCCACAAGAGAATTCTAAATCTCTTAACTTACTGCTTCTTCTTGTTCAAAGTAACGCTTCGTAATTACAAATAACGAAATACCGTCCGGAAATCCAGAAGAAAAGCTTCCCTGACAAAATCTTCAACGAATTTATACTTTACAATTGTAACATTTACTCAAAAAACGTAGAAAATGCTGCAAAACTCGCAATTCGTCTCGCAAAAACAAAGGACAACAGACAGAGACGAACATCACAGTCACCAATCGACAGCAGCTGGTGATCAACAGCTTCGTTACAAGTACGTTACAAAAAAAAAAAAAACAATCACACATAAATTAGGAAAAAAAAACGGTCGATAAAGCAAATCAATAACGCTAGGAAAAAAAGCCCTGCCGATTTCTAATGATCTTTTTTTCAAAGAAACGGCTAACTGTCACGGAAGAAAAAATCAATTTCAACGCTGAAGAAGTAAAATTTCAATGCCAAAAACATTTATCCCCCTAAAAGATGCCCATCGAGGATTAAAATTTACTTTGGGATTTTGAAAAGCTCCCTTTCCACCCTCAATTTTCGGAAATAAAAGACAACATAGAACAACATGTGCTGCCTCTTATTTCCAAAGAACTGAACGCCAACACCGTAGAAAAAATGTTAAAAACGAACTAGAAAA